GGGGGGGGGGGGGGGGGATAAGAAACTCATCCGAACTCCCAAAAACGCCCGGGTTTTTTTTTTTTTTTTGGGGATTCCTGGATTTTTTTTTTTGGGATTTTGGGATTTTTGGGGTGGGGATCGTCACCAGTCGGGCACCCCGAAGCGTTTGAGGAGCTCCTGCTGCGCCTCCAGGTCCTTCTGCACTTTGCGGCGCATGTAGAAAATGGGGCAGTCCCGGCTGGGGGGGGGGGAAAAATTTGGGAATTTTTTTATTGGGACTTTTTTGGGAATTTTTTTGGGGTTTTTGGGGTTTTTTGGGGTTTTTTGGGAGGCTCACCTGGTGCACAGAACGTCCTGGAGCAGAGAGCCCTGGCAGCGCTGGCACTGGCTCCAGAGGCGGGAGAAGCTGCGCTCCAGGTGCCACACCTGGGACACCTGGGGGGACGAAAATGGCCCAAAATGACCCAAAATCGGGGTTTGGGACCCCAAAAAACCCCAAAATCTGAATTTGGGGCACAAAAAACCCCAAACTCTGAATTTGGGACCCCAAAAAACCCCAAAATCTGAATTTGGGACCCCAAAAAAACACAAAATTGGGATTTGGGGCACCAAAAAACCCCAAAATCTGAATTTGGGATCCCAAAAAACCCCAAAATTTGGGTTTGGGGTCCCAAAAACCTCCAGGTGCCACACCTGGGACACCTGGGGGGACGAAAACGGCCCAAAATGACCCAAAATCGGGGTTTGGGACCCCAAAAAACCCCAAAATCTGAATTTGGGACCCCAAAAAAACACAAAATTGGGATTTGGGGCACCAAAAAACCCCAAAATCTGAATTTGGGATCCCAAAAAACCCCAAAATTTGGGTTTGGGGTCCCAAAAACCTCCAGGTGCCACACCTGGGACACCTGGGGGGACGAAAACGGCCCAAAATGACCCAAAATTGGGGTTTGGGACCCCAAAAAACCCCAAACTCTGAATTTGGGACCCCAAAAAACCCCAAAATCTGAATTTGGGGCACAAAAAAACACAAAATCTGAATTTGGGACCCCAAAAAACCCCAAAGTCTGAATTTGGGACCCCAAAAAAACACAAAATTGGGATTTGGGACCCCAAAATCTGAATTTGAGACACAAAAATCCCCAAAATTTGGGTTTGGGATGCCAAAAATCCCAAAAATTTGGGTTTGGGGCACCAAAAAACCCCAAAATCTGAATTTGGGACCCTAAAAAAACCCCAAAATCTGGGTTTGGGGCACCAAAAAACCCCAAAATTTGGGATTTGGGCACCAAAAAAAACCCAAAATCCAACGAACTCCCAAAAATGCCAAAAATTTGGGATCCCAGAACCCCCAAAATCCCCAAAAAATCCCCCAAAAATCCCCCAAAAA